GGTCTGGTTTTGGGAGACACAAATGGGTGTCTAAAATTCATATTCACATTCACACACTTCCACCGTGATCATATCCAGGGATTTACTATGCTCACCCCTTTTCACTTAGAGCTAGACTTGGGGGCTTGATCCCTACATCATTAGCTTACCTAGCCTAAGAGTCACCACCATTTTATTCTTGTAAAAAACAATATTTTTCCACACACTTAGCTCTTGAGGCCTAGCTTTAGTGTCACTATCACACACTGCACAGATACATGACCAAATATACTTCCCTTAGGAACCCTTTGTCATGAAATCTTAATACACTGTTGAAGCATGCCTTGTCATATCAAAATCACTCATCAATCATAATCATCATTGCGTCACGAAGTATGAAGTGCTTAGCCTCCGTGCCTAAGTTACCTAAATGCTTTCATCATTGAGTCAACCATTGAGATAGCCTAGGATAGGTTAATCCTTGAGAGATAGTATCAAACAACATTTGACTAAGCTCATTCAACATGCATCTTCAAACTTTCGATTTTTTTTCACATCTTTCTTTTTCGGGAGAAAGTCGGTACCCTCCACAAAAATGACGGAAAGTTTTTGCTTTTTTGCATTTTCGAGTCGCACAATCATAATACAATGCACACACGGTTCATGAGTCACACGTGTCATTTCACATCGAGTCGAGTCAACCTCGAGTCAGCCAATCACAGTGAATCAAGTTTGTACCTTGAGTCGTGTCAAGTCGATGAGTCAAGTAACATTAAACCTTAGGTCAACCCTAAGATGGTTAAAGAAATTGGCAAAGTTCTATAGTCGGACATAAATACAGGTGCAGCAGAACAGGGAAGACCCTACTCCAGCGCCTGGCACCAGAGATATCTCAGCAGCAATAGAGCTCGAAGCCTCTCAGAAAGGTGATTTCGACCTCATACAACAATTTTGGGTTCCTTGGTACGCCAGTTAGCCCCTATAAGCAATTTGACATGATTAGTAGTCGGCTCGATTACAATTGCAATAAGTGATTGACCTGACGAAAGATCATCTCACTTAGCTTAAGCGCCTAAAACACTGGCTCATTACAATCGGTTCAAAAGTAAGCACTTAAACGACAATATTTCCAAATATGGATTGTCGCGCATTCTTATTAAACGACAAAGTTTTCCAAAAATTGGATTGTCATCCCTGGTAAGGTTTCCAAGCGTGGATTGTCGTGCTCCTTCTCTGCTTGGCAAGTTTTTCCAAGTTCGGATTGTCATACATTCATAGATCGCTGGCAAGTTTTCCGAGATTGGATTGTCATACACCCAGTTCCCTATGGCAAAATTTCCCAAAGGATTGTTGTAGGTCTCTATTCATCATAAATTTCGGCAAAGTTCCTCAACGTGGATTGTCATTCATTTCAGCAAGTGGCAAATTTTCCTGAAGTGGATTGTCGGTCGACTCTTTCTTGCAAATGTTCCAAGACGCGGATTGTCAATTGTGGAAATATTTTCCTAAAAGGATTGTCGCACAGCGTTGGCAAATTTCCAAAGTGGATTGCTTTCAAGAGTTATATTCCAAGATGTGGATTGTCGATCGTAGCAAAGTTCTTATGAAAGATTGTTACGAATCATTGGCAACTTTTCCAAAGATTGGATTTTGGCAAATTTTCCGAGGTACGGATTGTCGCTTCATCGTGGCAACATTTCCAAGGATAGATTTTTACGAAGCATTGCCAACTTTCCCTAAATCGGATTGTCATACATCATACAAGAGTTGTGTTGGCAACTATTCCCAAAGAAAAGAGGATTGTCATCACAGCAAAAAGCACCGACATACAGGTTCAAAGCAACGGAAGTGCCGACGTACAGGCATAGCGGAAGCAAAGTTCAGGCGAACTTTTAAAGATCGACAGGCGTGGATCTTCGGTAATTTCCTTTGGAAAATTATCGCATCAAATGAAGGTGAATTCAAGAGAAGATATCTTCGACAACATTCCCTAGCTTGCGGAAAGTTATGACAAACAACTGGAGATGGTTTCAAGAGAAATAATCTTCGATGGTATTCCCTAGGATGTGGAATATTATCAATGCAACTGGAGATTGTTTCAAGAGAAATAATCTTCGATGGTATTCCCTAAGATGTGGAATATTATCAAAGCGGAAGAGGATCGTTTCAGGAGAAGCAATCTTCTAATTTGGAAGCAGTTACAGGCGTAGCGGTTTTCAAGCGGGATGACATTCTTTAGCTTGTAGGAGGTCATCAAAACAACAGCAAAGCGGCAGCAAATCGGTTACTTTCAGAGATGTGTGCTCGACGGTGCAAGATACGCGTTTCTTAACTCTTTTATCTGTTTAACTAACGATAGTTTTGCAGGTATCGGCGTTACAAGATTGATTTAGGATCGCAGAACGTTCTGAGTCATTCTCCGTCCCTATCGATACTTTGACTTTTGTTTTCGAAACTTGCGTTTCTCCAAACTCAGTCAAAGTGGGGGCTTCTGTAGACACCCATTTGTGTCTCCCCAAAACCAAACCCAGTGATGAGTACCTTTCACGTCGAATCATAATCGAATGAAGCGAAAGTGTGGAAAGTCTAGTGTTGCGAAAAGTTTTTATTTCTTTTCTCTTCTCTCTGTTTTTGAAAACTTATTTTAAGAAAACAGCCAATCCAGTTTGGTTGGTCCATGATATGGGTCCAATAATAGTGTAGTTGGATGGGGCTTGCAAAAAGCTTTCCAACGATATATTATAAGCCCAATTCCGATAAATATTGAGGAAATTATGGCCAATTTACTAAACTAGGCTCGGTTTGAGCTTTATATGCGGCCCAATGATCTAGGGGAGGGCCTAATATGATTTATCATTCCTAATGCAATTAGGAATGGTTTTAGTATTCTAGAATCTTCTAGAAGGTTCTTTTCATTCCTAATTCAATTAGCATTGATAAATTGACTTTTGTTGCCCTTTCAGAGTTTTAATCAAAATCAAATAGCATTTTCGAAGGAATTATATGATTTTATCCTCCAGTACGGTAAACTTATTGGATTTTCGAAAACGCGTTGGTATCAGGCTTGGAGCCTAACCCCAGGCCTTGGCGCCTGGAACCAGGCCTGGCGCTAGCCATTGGCGCCTGGAACCAGGCCTGGCGCTAGCCATTGGCGCCTGGCGCCAGCTAGCCAGGGTTGGCGCCAGCTCTGTTTTCTGAGCGTCAGACTCTGTTTTGATATTTTATCTTTTTTTGGCTGATTTTCTCTATAAATATCGTATTAAAAACTCCATTTTCATTCACCAATTCTCACTATACATCACCAATTCTCACCATTCATCACAATCCTCACCATTCATCATCTACATCTATCATTCACCAATTCTCCTCATTCACAAGTTTTGATTAGCATTCTTTAATTCATTCATCTCTTTCCTTCTTTCTTCTAAAAACTTTGCTTTTAATACAAAATTCCGCATTCACAAGATCTAGAAACACCTAGCCATATTCGAAGTTGCCTTCGCCCTGACGTGAAAGGTTTTAATTTCTGAGGGTTTGGTCCCAAATCTCTTTTTCAATTATTTAATTTAATTGTTTTGATTATTATTTTCCTTGAAGTTACTAACGTGTGTATTTTGTTATTAGAAAGAGGTACGAAGCATCAAAGTAATTACTTTATAAATCATGTTTATATTGTTATTATGATATTCCTAACATCATGTCTAGGGTAATTTTCATATTAAATATGATTGCTATGATGCCTTTTATTCTCTTCCTAATATTTATGATTGTTATTATCATGTTAGGGTTAAAGATTTGATTTTTATTGCTTAGTGACATGCTAGGGTTTGTTATTAATCTTGTTAGTATCATGCCTAGGATCTTGCTATTTTTATTACGCTTTAATATTAACATGAACATGATAAGTATTATAATTGTTATAATTTATGATGATTATGAATATCATTATTATTATTATTATTATTATTATTATTATTATTATTTTGATAACGATTATAATTATTGTCATGATTATTATTATGTTGCTTGATGCTTATTATTTATTGCTTGATCACACATTTTATTGCATGTTTAAAGGGAATTGGTACTTGTAATCACGCTTAATGAGATATTTAATAATCTTGTTAGGTTAACTTTGATTATAATTCAAGTGATCGCCAATAATAGATTTATTGTGCATTAAATTCAACCAACATAGATTAAACAGGTTTAGGGTTAACCTAATGATTGCATGTTAATCAGAAAGCGCACATGAATACGATCAGAATAAAGTAGAGGCCTATTATTATGGAAGGTTCAATCTCTTTTAGGTTGGATTTGTACCATCATCCCCGAACCCTTATTTGGTTCTAGACCTTATGGAGTTGACGATCTCTTGGATCGTTAAGGGGTGTAACCTTCACCTCGTGAATGGTTTACAAGTTCCTTAAAAAAAACTTGTTGGCGACTCTTTTGCTCTATCTTCTTCCCTTTTGGACGCCACCGTACTTTAGTGTATGATCACAGTGGGGTTCAAGCTAGTGGAATTTAAAGGCTTGAAATTATTCCCTACAGCAAGCGTCGCAGTTAATCTTCACAAAATCAGAGGGAGGAGGGAGCCATTTCTTCGGGCTTTTGCACTTTCTTTTGCTGACCGAACCATAAACCTTAGCAGCATATTTACCACAATCTTCCACCAAGCAAAATACTCTGTCTCTTACTATTAGGTGAGGGATTTCTTTTCCATTGAATACTTTCTCATTCCCACGGCACCCAAATCTGCCATAACAATGCAACCCCAATTAAGCACTTCCTCTCATTCCCTTGCTTCCACCTCAAAAGAGTTTCTTTAAGTCAAAAGCCGGGTCTGTGACAGCAAGTTCAGAGCATTCACACTCAACCTACAAGTCTTGCACAGCCGGACAACCAAAGAATATATGATGCAGCGTTTCAGGAGCACTAGATCACCATGGGCAGAGACCCGAATCCCTCATGTGCCTATGATACAAAAGAGCACAAGTTGGCAGGGAGTTGGAGCAAATTCACCAGAGAAAGAGTTTGACCTTTGGGATCGTATCAAGGCCCCAAATATCAACCCACACTTGATGGAAAGCCCCTAAATCACAAGTCTTCTCAATCATATATGCAGATTTCACATCATATACCCCGTCTTTGGAGAAAGCCCATGTCAGAATATCATCCTGAGTTCTGAGACTAAGTGGTATAGTCATAATGCATTTTACATCGCTCTCTTCAAAATTCTCGAAAAGCAGCTCATAGTCCCAATCATTTGTTTCAACATTTATTAAATCCTTGACCACATTAAGCCTATCAATCCCTAGAGTAAAAACAAACCTCCCCTTTTCATCGGCTAGCCACGGGTCTTCAAAAATTCTGATTTTAGAGCCATCACCTACGCTCCAGACCACCCCTTCTTTTACAAGAGATTTAGCTCCCCATATTCCACGCCATGCGTAACTGCCATTAAAGCCAAGAGAGGACTCTAAAAAATCCGAGTGAGGGAAATATTTGCCTTTCATAACTCGCCCAAACAGTGATCCGGGATTGTTGATAAGTCGCCAAGCTTGCTTACCAAGGAGTGCTTCATTAAAGACTCCCATATCCCGAAAACCCATCCCTCCCAAGCACTTTGGTGTGCACATAACCTCCCAGTTTAACCAGTGGACTCTCCTCCTAGCATCCGAATTTTCCCACCAAAATCTTGCAGTGAGGGATCGAATTTCATCGATGACACTATTAGGCAACTTATATACCCCCATCAAATAAGTCGGAATAGCCTGTATAACTGATTTTATAAGAACTTCCTTTCCGGCTCTCGATAACAGCTTCCCTTTTAGATAATACGTTTCCAACAAAATAAAAAATGCTGACCCCACAAGAATGGAGTATTGGCGAATTTCTCATTGATTTTGTCAGACACATCTTTTCATTTAGTAGGGAAAAAAAGCAAGCTACTAAATTTTGCTTTTTAAGTTTCAAGATTTTACAAAATGGAGTATACTCTAGGTCTCTAGTATGGACTATGTAATTATGTACTCTGTAGTATTTTCTTCACTTTCTTTTTATAATACACATAATTATCACCTTTATCAATGGACAAAAATATTCTAATCAACATAAATCACTACAGATAATTAAAGTATTTCTTTTCAAGCTCATCATTTCCTCAGTTTAAATACATATAAGTCTACGACTAACAATTTGAATTATGCATTTGCCAATCTATAAGTTTAACCATAAATAGAAATTCCCTTTGTCAAAAAGAAAAATGATAGAAATGAAACATATGAATTAATTGATAATCAATAAGTTTTAGGTCAAATTTATGTCTTAGTTTAAACATGTTTGGCCCCTGAAAGAAAACTATTCAAGATCCGTCATTGTCCATATATACCCTTCAGTAACCAATTGAAGTTATATATTTGACCCTTGATAAACAACTTATGTTTCTCAGCATGAGAAACCGGGCTTTGCTCATTTTTCTATGACGTTATAAAAATATTTATATATTAAATAGTGTGGCTAACGCACGCAATGCGCGCGTTATAACTTGCGATGTCCAAGGAACACTTTCAATTTGACATTCTTAAGGGTATAAATTGTCCTCACACTATTCTTAAGAGTTCAAAAAAAGTAACAATTAGCATTAATAAGAGAAAATAAGTAAATTAATATTTTAGAGGATATAATTATCCAAATACTATTCAAAACTTCATAAGGGGGTGTTTGGTTCAATATATTGGAATGGAATCTCATAAGGTATGGATTCTAAAACCTGTTTTGGGTGATTTTGTCCCTTGGGAGAGTTACGTCACGAAATCTGATTCCGGCTGAGCTACACCTGCAAAATAACGGAGACTCCGGGTGGTTGGAGCTCCGCCTCCGACGGTCAAGTTAGCGACTTGAAACGGAATAAAGAGAACGGAAATTTAGGTAGGGATCTGCTCGGATTCCAAGCTCAAGTCTTTCTCTGATGTGAGAGAATAAGGGTGTAATAAATGATTCAATTTGTCCCCAAAATGGGGAAATATCTCTCTATTTATAGGGTCGTTGGGAAAAGTGCCCCTACCTAGGTCACTTGACCTAGATTTTAGTGGGCTGCACCATTTTACAGCGCTCCTAGGAATCTGGGCCTTTGAAGGCCGCCATTTCGGAAACATATATGAGGGCGCCAAGTGTCAAGAGGATGCTGAGCCACATGGGCCATCCTAAGCTCGACACGTGGCGACCTCTCATTGGTCCACGTGTCAAGAGGATGTTGGGCCACATGGGCCATCCTGAACTCGACACGTGGAGAGCTCTCATTGGCCCACGTGTCTAGGGTAAAAATACCCTAAACATTTTGCCCCTCACAGGTCGCACGTGCATGTCACGTGGGGCCTGTGACACGTGTCCACCTCTCATAGGTGAACAGTAACGGGGTAAAATTTTGAATTTCAAATCAAAATTTTCCCCCCACTTTTACTTTCTATAAATAGAAAGTTACCCCCCCTCCTTTTCACACTTTACATTCACATTGACTTTTTAGAGAGAGAAAAAGAGAGATTCTAGAGAGATTTATCTCTGCTCTCGCCTGCATAATCAGCGAATTTCAAGCTTCCGAGTGCTAGCAGTTCATCACCCGGTTCACCGGCTGTAGCGGTTTTCAGATTTTCCAGAGTCAAAGCAAGGTAACCGCCTATACCACTTTAGCTTTTCTCCCTTTCGATTTACATACCATTTTTTCCGCCTGTATGCCCGGCTTTCTTAAGAAAATAAAATAAAAAATATAAATGAGTTCCCCATCCACCCACTCGGCACTGCCTAGGACACTCAGTCGATCCCCCGGAACGGCTAAGTCTAGAACAGGGGGTGCCTCTTCTGGACTGTCGGAACCAATATGCTCATCTCCGAATTCCTCCCTCTCTGTGTCTGTGCAGGACACAATGGCCAGAACGAAACAAACGGCCACGCGGTCTAAAAGCCGGCGCACCATGAGAGTGCCAGCCGATGAGGTTTTCCCGGATGGGGATCCGAGGGATTTGGAGGAGAGTGGATCCGACGAAGAGGCTCCTTCTACATCCGGGAGCTCGGGGGTAAGAGAGGTTGTTAACGAGGGAGCCGCCTCCTCCAATGAAGTCGGCGATGCTGAGGCCGGCCAGGGATCAAGAGCAGAGTCTTCCGGCTCTGACCAGGGGGATTTTGCGGCTGACTATCAGCAGCCGCCAAAAGTAGCTGACAACCCCAACCCTAAGAGAACCCGGATGCTGCCGAGCAACATCGCCCTTCTTAACAGCGGGTTTAGGGCCTTTAAGGAGAAACATCCCTTTGGAAGGGGATGGGAAGTTATTGTCCCTCCGGCTGATGCTGTAATGGCCTGGGGGGACAACATTAATCATGCAGATGACTACTTCATCTGCTATGAGGCGGTAATAGAAGCCGGCCTCCGGTTCCCCCTCCACCCCGGGATTAGGAAAATCCTAAAGGGGTACGATTTGGGGGTTTAGCAGCTCACCCCAAACTCGTGGGTGAACATTTTAAGTTACATCGCCGCCTGCGAGTTCCAAAATTTGAACCCTAGCTTCTCTGCCTTTGCTCACATGCACTATTTGAGCAAGGCTCCAGGCGGCCATGGGGCATGGTATACTCTGACTACCTTGCCCCAATACTTAATGACTTTGGACAAAGTGTCCAAATGGTCCGGGTGGAAAAACAAGTTTTATTTGATTTCCTCCCCCACCCTAAGACACAACCGGACACTACGCCGGTACAACACTGAGCCGACTCTTCTTGGACGCAAATGCCCTCTCCCGGAAATATCTACTAAAGCCCGGGAGCAGATCAAGGAGCCGAGGTTTTTTGAAACTACAACTGAGCCCATGGGGGATGGGACTCACATTATTGTTCCTAAAAACTAGATCCCCCACCCGGACTTCTTCAAAGATGAATTCTTTTTGTCCGCCTGCGGACTGAGCACAATGTTTCCCAAGGGTAGAATACTTCACACCCGGAACAATTGTTATTTTTCTTTTTATTGCAAATTTGCCTTGATTCTTTCTAACTTGAAATTCTTGTTATTGCAGAAGAAGCCCTGAAGATGGTTGACTAAGACAAGACTCCTGCTAAATCGGCTGCGCAATTGCGCAAGGAGGCGGCTCTTGCCAAAAAGGCAGCCGTCGAGGCAAAGGACAACAAGAAAGGCGGGGTAAGACCGCCTGACTTAATGTTTGCATTTTTTTCTTCTTCTTCTTTTTTTTATACCGGTTGGGTATACTCATATTTGCTTCTTTCTCAGGAGTCTGCCAAGAGAATCCCTCGATCATTCTCCAAGCTTCTCAAAAGGCAAGGAGATGATCTTGAAAAGGCTCCGGCTGCCAAAGCCGCCAGAAAGGACCCCCCCAAAAAAAACAAGGCTCTGCCCAATCTGGTCATCCAACGACTGGGGGCAAATCCCCTGCTGTTCTGAAAAAGCTCAGTGAAAGCTCAGAACAGCAGAAGACGCCGGATGCCTTAACGGCATCGAAGGGTGGCATGCCACCTGAGGTTGCAGACGGTACGGCAACCACCGGGGAGGAAAACAAGCCGGAGACCAATCTGGAAGCTCAAAGTAAGGAAGGAACTGAAATACCTTGGCCACTTGATTTCATGAGAATCAAGACCAAGGTTGATACTTCAAAAGGGTCCGTCAGCAGCCGGCAACGGATGAATGCCAGCTACGCTGCTTCTATCTCACATAGCACTACTTTTGATGCAGGTCCGACTTCTGACCAGCCGGACCTTCCAGGATTCGCAAGACGGTTGGTGAGGACTCTCACCCGGTGCGAGAAGGCATCCATACCTGATCTGCAGGTTGTGGACTTTGACCGGATAATGGGCTCTCTGGCTGAGGTACATGGTTTTTCTATCTTAATGTCTTTCATCTTTAATTTGACTAAGTAACTCTTTAACCGACTGCTATTGATTCAGGCTATGGTGAGGGTGGACAGTCCCCGGGGCCCCTTCAGGCGGAAGCAAGAAGAGGTAAATGTCGCCAAACGGAGGGCCTTAGAAAACCTCAACTTTGCTGAACATTATGATTATATGTGTAATTTAAAGATTAAAGCAGTAGAGTTGAAACAGGAGGAGCTGATCCGGAGTTTAACGGCTGCAAACGATGAAGCTAACAGTCGGGATGATGACCTTGACAAGCAGCTGAAAGATGCCAAGTCTGATCTCAAGGCATTAGAGGATGCTGACAAAGAGAATGCCCAACTCCGGACTGACAATGACCGCCTGAAGCTCGAGCTCATGACCCTACGCAACAAGCAGGCGGATGAGCTGGCCGAGGAGCAGACCCGGCTGACCGAGGAGAATGAGCGGGACAACTTGGCCCGCCTGAAGATCACCTAGGGCCTCCTTTACCCAGAAATAGACTTTAAGGTCTATAAGTTGAGGTATGATTACGCCACTGAGGTGTATGATGCCCAGCAACTGGGTGATGCTCCACCGCCTCGCTTCAAAGACTGGGCTTCTGAGCAGGGATATGAAGTCTTTGATGATGAGGAGCAGGCGGATGATCAGCAAGAGGGCCAAGCCAGCCAAGCTCAGCCGGAGAAGACTCTGCCTAAGCCTTAGGCGGTCCTCCCCCCTTTCTGCGGCTGTATGCCAACAATGTTGTTTACCGGCTTGCATGTCCGGGTGCTCTTGCCCCTGGACGGCTGTGCGGTTGGTTTAGTGCCAGGTTGATTGATTGGCTTGAAAACACTTGATACTTGGAGAATTATGGAGTGTTTTTAGGCCA